TTTAATATTTTTAATAGATAATATTAATATCCTATTTTTCTTAAATATGAGAAGACGACATTACTTATGAGTTACTTTCACGTTGAACACACTATGAAAGATGGGAAAAAATGTTGAACAGCAGTAATAACAAGACAAAGATTTATTATAATTATTATTATATTCACGCCGTTCATTTGTATATGTACATTAGTGACATTAAAATAGAATCGCTCTTCGAGGTCGCAACCCGTTTTTGTGAGTACTCCGACAATTGTGATGAATTCCTCATTTCTGATGCATCTTGTCGAATCAGCTTTAGCATCACGTTAAAGAAAGAGAAATCAAAGTCATTTTATAAATTCATAACTACAGTTTGTTTGCTTTCTACATCACAGAGGAAATTATGCTGAAGTACACGTTAGAGGGACACGTTTGTGAGATAGAAAGTGAAGTATCATTTCATCTTTCAGACACAGATAAGAAATTTTATGCTCCCTAAGTTTCATCACTTTAATGTCCGAACACTTACCCATTCTATTTATTAATTTTACAAATCTACGAGGACACGAAAGTGATATCGTTTGTTTCTCCTTTGTTATCTCGCAACGAAACGATGCACAATTTCGATGTAACTGAACAATCCCTTGATCAATCATTATTCATATTCGCCATTTATCATTGATCTGTAACTTGTGAAATCTTTATAATTTAGCCTAGCATGCACTCTTCACGTCTGCCTCTTTTTTTTAGAATACGATAGATTAGCGGTTTTGTTTACGTTGTTGTTGTATTGTAGCGGGACCAGACCCGTGAGGGAGATGTGGTGACGAATCAACCGAGAGGCCTAAATAAGGTAAGCCTATCCAGTATCAGTGGTTCTTAATCCTCTGACTTTACACAAATTCTGTGTACTTTATCTTATCCGTGATTAATACGTTAAAGTCTTTCCGTATTTCGTAACACGCCTACAACATACTAAATATAAATCTAATGAAGCAATGTACACGTTAATTAAATAAGTTTTTAATCTTCGTTTCTTAAATGTTTTATCTTTGTTAATGCCGTATTATTGTACACGTCTAGTAAAAGAACTATGTATTTTTCATTCCATGTTTGTCTACGTCTTATAAAAATTTTAAATTGCGCAGTACTATAAGACTGTGCGATATTTATCATTTTATTTAGAGTAAAAATATTATTGTGGATTAGCTTGTAGTTTCTGGTGGTTTACTCCAAAAATTCAAGAAACGGAAGAAGCTTCGTTTAATGACTGGAGGAAATGAGAACCATTGAAACGAACGATATTATTCGCCTTTCGATCATTTTCATACCGACTAATTGAACATCCTCATTCCTTCTCTCATCATTTCTAATTTTGTTTCTGCTCTTCGTACACGAATATATGCAACGGGAATCGCAGGTTTGTATATCAATTAAAAAGAAATATCACGCTTCGAAAATTGCCAAACTGAGTTCGCGACTATTACGAGCGCTTTTTCATTTAAAGCGATCTTAAAATGTAAGGATCAGTACGAATAAAGGAATCCTGAAGTAGACATGAAAATTGAAGATGTCAACATTTTTTAGAATATGTTTTCTATTCTTGAAGAATTATTCTCGCCCCTTCGATATTGAGAGTAACAAGAAAATATGTGTCAGATACCCTTTTTAAAGAACCTGTAAATTTTAATAAAATCAATGGTTTGCATTTTTTTCCCGTATATCGCCATGTTTGCGGAACAAAATTGGTCCAGTCAATACGACCTGAACACAAATTGTAAAACTGAGTAAAATAACATTTCTGTTCATATTCATTAAAGTAAAATAAACAGAAATTAATATATTTGTACAATACAGTTGAATGCAATAAACTTTTGATTTATTTAGCATCACGATGTGCAAGTACTTCTAAATTATCATTTTCTAGGAGATTCTTATCGAGCTAAGTTTTTTGTACACTTTGGAATTGGTGATCGTGGTAGGGAATTGAATTTATTGTTAAATGTTGTTAAATAGGAAGAAGAAAGCGACGAAGATGCGATTACGGCCCAACCGCAGGGCGGTCCACAGAATAGTTCGACGAACCAGCCAATTTTCGCTATGCCACCGCCGGCCGCCATGGCCGACGAGAATACAAATTTGAATAGCGGCGCTGAGAGAGTTATTTACACAACTGGTATTACGAGTACATAAATATTAATGCATGTTCTGCGGGTCACCATTTTTCTTATGTAGTTTTAGCCATATTTACATATTCCTCTTGTTTTTGACTTTTCTTTCTTCTGATCAACTACCGAGTAAAGTGGTGTCGCTCGATAACGCGCAACATAACTACGTAATGTATTGATACTGTTAGCTATTGCTTCGATTAATAATTTAATGGCTGTGCTGTGCGCACAATCTTTTATCCCGTATCTTTTCGAATCGTAGGCTTATTTACATAATTTAAAACTGATTGAGTAAGTTAAGGCTATAACTAAATTTTTTTTATCGCCACAATTTATACGCAATTTTAAGCAAACGTAGAGGATTGTATCTTGAGCAAATTATTAATAAAATTTTTTCATTGGATTACAATACATCGTAAATTGATCATGCAAATACACTGAAGTGTTTCAATAAAAAGAAAATTTGTTTCGTTGATGATGAAATCGACATATTTTGTATTAAAATAAATATGAGATTCAAATTCGGTACTATAAGACTGTGCGATATTTATCATTTTATTTAGAGTAAAAATATTATTGTGGATTAGCTTGTAGTTTCTGGTGGTTTACTCCAAAAATTCAAGAAACGGAAGAAGCTTCGTTTAATGACTGGAGGAAATGAGAACCATTGAAACGAACGATATTATTCGCCTTTCGATCATTTTCATACCGACTAATTGAACATCCTCATTCCTTCTCTCATCATTTCTAATTTTGTTTCTGCTCTTCGTACACGAATATATGCAACGGGAATCGCAGGTTTGTATATCAATTAAAAAGAAATATCACGCTTCGAAAATTGCCAAACTGAGTTCGCGACTATTACGAGCGCTTTTTCATTTAAAGCGATCTTAAAATGTAAGGATCAGTACGAATAAAGGAATCCTGAAGTAGACATGAAAATTGAAGATGTCAACATTTTTTAGAATATGTTTTCTATTCTTGAAGAATTATTCTCGCCCCTTCGATATTGAGAGTAACAAGAAAATATGTGTCAGATACCCTTTTTAAAGAACCTGTAAATTTTAATAAAATCAATGGTTTGCATTTTTTTCCCGTATATCGCCATGTTTGCGGAACAAAATTGGTCCAGTCAATACGACCTGAACACAAATTGTAAAACTGAGTAAAATAACATTTCTGTTCATATTCATTAAAGTAAAATAAACAGAAATTAATATATTTGTACAATACAGTTGAATGCAATAAACTTTTGATTTATTTAGCATCACGATGTGCAAGTACTTCTAAATTATCATTTTCTAGGAGATTCTTATCGAGCTAAGTTTTTTGTACACTTTGGAATTGGTGATCGTGGTAGGGAATTGAATTTATTGTTAAATGTTGTTAAATAGGAAGAAGAAAGCGACGAAGATGCGATTACGGCCCAACCGCAGGGCGGTCCACAGAATAGTTCGACGAACCAGCCAATTTTCGCTATGCCACCGCCGGCCGCCATGGCCGACGAGAATACAAATTTGAATAGCGGCGCTGAGAGAGTTATTTACACAACTGGTATTACGAGTACATAAATATTAATGCATGTTCTGCGGGTCACCATTTTTCTTATGTAGTTTTAGCCATATTTACATATTCCTCTTGTTTTTGACTTTTCTTTCTTCTGATCAACTACCGAGTAAAGTGGTGTCGCTCGATAACGCGCAACATAACTACGTAATGTATTGATACTGTTAGCTATTGCTTCGATTAATAATTTAATGGCTGTGCTGTGCGCACAATCTTTTATCCCGTATCTTTTCGAATCGTAGGCTTATTTACATAATTTAAAACTGATTGAGTAAGTTAAGGCTATAACTAAATTTTTTTTATCGCCACAATTTATACGCAATTTTAAGCAAACGTAGAGGATTGTATCTTGAGCAAATTATTAATAAAATTTTTTCATTGGATTACAATACATCGTAAATTGATCATGCAAATACACTGAAGTGTTTCAATAAAAAGAAAATTTGTTTCGTTGATGATGAAATCGACATATTTTGTATTAAAATAAATATGA